AACTACCCACCCAAACAGAACCTCAACACATGGGAAAAGGTCCTAAAAGAAAATCCACTGACGTATTTGATGGGATACGATGCCTACCAGGGGAATATACTATAAACATAGACCCGAAAATAGCATCAGTTGTCCACCCACCACATAGAGTCCAAGTATAACTGAGGGACAAATTCAAAGCTGAATTTGACTCTCTTGAGAAGCAGGACATCATATCACCCATCACAAAACCCACCTCATGGGTAAATTCATTTGTGTGTGTCTCCAAGGCGAACGGATCAGTTGGGTTATGCCTAGACCTGAAAGGCTTAAGCAAAGCCATACAAAGACCACACCTTGTAACACCCACATTCGAGGATGTAGTCTCCAGACTACATGGGGCTAAGTGGTTTACCACCGTTGACATGAAATCCGGATATTGACAGCTGAAGCTAGATCAACAGTTAAGTTTGCATTTTGTCTTTATTCATATTGTCCTTTTACATATATACTCTATCAGAAATTTATGTATATAATAAATAGCACAAAATTGTGATGTGCATAAAACTGAGAGTTGTACCTCAAAGTGAGGAACAAAATTATTATTAGTGGAAATTGCTGGTACCGCATGACAAGTAGATAGAGTGATTACTGGAGGGTCCATCTACAAAACTCTAAAGTCGGGATGCTAACCGACAAACTTTATATTTGTATTAATTATATATATACTAGCTGGATCCATGAAAAATTTCACGGATAATTTAAATATCGTCCAATGAATATTTATCGGTTAATAAAAATTGTTTAATAATTTTCACTATTTTGGTTAATAAAAAATTATATTATACTTTTTCATATTTAATAATATAAGTTTCAGTTATTGTGTGAAAGTATATATGAAATATATCCGTTACAGCACTTCTATAAACAATATGGAATCGTAAAGGCTGATCCTCATTTATGGCATTTCTTCACTGTTGAATTCGGTTTCTCATATTCTGTAGATAAGCTTCTCTCTCCTTTGGATCCATGTAATTTTTTCTATCTTGATCTCTGTTTCTTCTATTCTGAAGATAAAGTTCTCTCTACTGTTAGTGCATATTATTCCTCCTTTCTTGCACTTGTTCCCGATAACGGTCACGGATTGTTTGCCTCTCTTCTGCTTGTAACTATTGTCATTGTCTTCTCGCTGCCACTCTTTGTTGACTTATATTATCTCTTCCATTTTTAAGAATGATTGATTCAGTAATTATAAAATCACCTAGGTGATATAAGAAAACAGAGACAATGTCAGCCATATATAAAAATTTGTAGTGTTATTTGATTTATATCTTGTTTTAAATTTGCTACGATTTCAATTTTACATGCTAAAAATTAGAATATAGCATCAATTTACAACTTACCTCAAGAGAGTAATAGAAAATAAATATTTTCTTCTGGGAAGAGATCACAGTTGACCAGATACTTGGGAGTTGAAGTATTTCTCTTAGGTTTTTATTTAAAAATAGAAGCGGTTTGTTCCTATTTTTAAATATATATTTAGCATTCTGCTACCACTTTCTTTCGATGTCATTTTTTGTACAAACTAAACACCAAAGTGGATCACAGAGCCTTGAATATTTCTCTGACTCCTGAAAGTGACCACAAACCCTTGGAAATTTGCCTCAAGAACCTAACAGCAGCACCCCCCGACTTCAACGAATGCTATTAAGACTCCAAGAATATGACATGGTCATCAAATATCGACCGGGCAAAGAGATGCTACTGGCAGATGAACTATCCAGACTTCCTATCAAAAAGAACATTAAACATCAAAGTAGATGTTATGATCCGGTTCCCTGTACCACAGTGATAGTCCAAGGTAGAACCAATAAAGAAGAACTCGAACACAGGTATGGAATAACACAGATATATTACAAACAGGATTATATACAGAGAAGTAGAAGTGTTAGTATGAACAATCAGGTTTAGTAGAGAGAACAATGTAGTCTCGACCAGTATCACTATTCCAATGTCTTGCAGTAATGGTCTGAACGCGACCCTGTTTCGAACAATACCTCTTCTTGAGGTGGACCGTTAGCATCCTGTAACGGTCTCTTCCTTATTTGGTTTACGTGTCTTCTGTGTGAGAATTTTTTTTCTTGTACTATGTACATCATACTACCAATTCTTTTCTCAATTATGCCTTGTTCTCAGTAAGGGGTATTATTTTTATATGCCTTAAAAAAAACTTTTTCTCCTAGGAGGGATTTTCTTTTTGGTGCGTAGGACTGTGTTACTTGTTTTGTTTTCCTTGGTAGTAATTTATCGAAAAGCTGATTTGATTTTGACGTAGACCGTCTGTGCGGCCCATTTGCTGTATTCTACTTTTTTCAATATGCCCGTATTTTCGAGTCTAGTTAATTCTTGGTCAATTTTTTCTATTGACGCAAACGGTACGCTTCTTTTTTTCTTGAAAACAGGTTGAACGTTTTCCTTTATTTCGGTATAAGCTGCCATTTTCTTACATCTTCCGAGACCTGCTGGAAATACTTCGGGGAAACTCGTTTTTAGTTTTCCTTTTAATTTGTCTGCCTCGGTTGATAAGCTTTTTACATTCTGGCAGTAGGTGCTAATAGGTAGATCCCACAATTCGAATTTTTGCATCCAGTCTGTTCCGAATAGGTTTTCGGTATTTCTTAAGACGTACATTTTTAGTTTTTTCGTCATTCCATTAAATGTTACGTTTGTAATTACTTCACCCTCAAATTTTATCTTTCTCCCCGTAACTGATCTAGCAATTTTATCCGTTTTTAACATGACAGGTTTGCTCAGTTTTCTCCATGTTTGTAGGTTTATGATAGTTAAGTCTGAGCCAGAATTCAGCTGTAACCTAACTTTTCTGTTTTGCATTTCAACTAGTACATATTTTCTTATATTAGTCTCATCTGCTTGATCAGTCCTCATAATTCTTATTCTGCTTTTGCTTTCTTTTCTATACCAACAATGAGAACTTTTGTGGCCAATTTTTTTTACATGATAGACAAGTTTTAAAACGATATGTACAGTCTTTAACCCAATGCCAAGACCCACAACGATAGCATGGACTGGGTGGTAGGTTTTTTTTATGTTGATTATAATTAAAAAAATTGTTTTACCTGTTCTTGAGGCGGGAAAATCGGTTCGATTTGTTTGTGAGGAGGGAAAATTTGTTTGCTTTCGTACTTTGTGTACGTGTGCTACGCCAGTTTGTTCTATGTCTTTTGAGTCTTTCTTCACACTGATGCATCTCTGGCAGTCTTCGGCTAGTTTTTGAAGTGTCAGATCTTGTTCACTCTCCAATTGAGTAAGTATTCTGCGTCTCATTTCTGCGTCTTTGGTTGAAACCAGGCCTTGGACGTAAATTAAGCATTTGAAGTTGTCCGCGCTGAGTTCCGATAATCTGATATCGTCACAATATTTATTAACAACGGATGCGAAAGTTATGTAATCTTCGCTGTCCTTTTTTGTCTTTTATGGAATAGTGAAGTATTATGGCTGAAAAGTTCCGTTAGCAGTTTTATGGATTCTTTGAACGTTAACTCGCTTGTTTTTCTGGGAAGGATATAATCTACGAATTTGGTATATTCGCCTGTGCCTAATTTTCTTAGTAATAGGCGTACTTTACGTGCGTCTGATTAATCTTTGCAGTCAAAATCATATAGATCTTTGTACCTTCGGAAGTAATTTGCAAAAGTTTTATTTTCGTCGGGTGCGTACTTGAAATCTTCGATATTACTCCAAATAGCGTCTTGTGAGAGAACTGTTTCGTTCTCGGATTTTTGCTCCTTATTTGTCATTGCACATAACAATAATTCTTGCAATTCCAGATGTTTCTGTTCGTACCTTTTTTGCCGTTCAAATTAGATTTTATAAGTTCCATAATGGTTGACTTAAAATCTTCCATGTTAACGTATTTTTTGTGTGTAACCTGATATTCTGTAGCCTGTGCACGCAACAAAAAAAACATTCCTTTGTTGTCAATGAAAATTTGATATAAAAAAAAAGAAATTTTTTCTTTTTTTGGAATTAGTTTCGTATTACCCTTGTTATGCGCGACGGATAGCAAAAAAAAAATGGTTTGTCTTCCGCGTCGAGAGTTGGTTTCCTCGTCGCCACTTGTTATGCACGACGGATAGCAAAAAAAAGGTATGTCCTCCGCGTAGAGAGTTGGATTCCTCGTCGCCACTTGTTATACTGTGGCGAACGAAAAAAATCTTTCTTCCACCGAATGAATTCGAATCTTCGTCGCCACTTGTTATGGTCCGGTTCCCTGAACCACGGTGATAGTCCAAGGTAGAACCATTAAAGAAGAACTCGAACAAAGGTATGGAATAACACAGATATATTACAAACAGGAATATATACAGAGAAGTAGAAGTGTTAGTATGAACAATCAGGTTTAGTAGAGAGAACAATGTAGTCTCGACCAGTATCACTATTCCAATGTCTTGCAGTAATGGTCTTAACGTGACTCTGTTTCGGACTGCCTCTGACTCGACACTTGACTCGTCTTGAACTACTGACTCCTTGCCTACTCCTGAGGGGTAGTATTTATTAAGTATGGAATAGTCCATTATTATTATTATGGGTAAGATCTCATAACAGTAGACTTTGTGCAATTCTCATCTAAAAAATTAACTCAGATCCGTCAAGCAACTGCTGCCGACTCAATATTGTGTGAATTAAGAGCACGTATTCTTCAAGGCTGGCTAGAATCTCGCAGAGAACTACACAAATACCTTCATCCATACTGGTCTTATTGAGATGAGCTCTCTATTGAGAATGGCATTTTGTTCAAAGGTGACAGAATACTGATCCCTAAATCAATGCAGCCCGAAACACTGGAAAAAATACATTATGGTCACCAAGGGAGCGAAAAATGCAAGCTCAGGGCAAAAACTTGCGTTTTCTGGAGTGGCATAAATAGCGACATCGACAAGATAGTACAACAATGCGCCATATGTCAAGAACTCCAGAAGTCCAAAACTGCAGAGTCCCTAATGCCACACGAGATCCCAGTACGACCATGGCAAATCGTGGCTACTGATATTTTCAACCTTAACAGGCATAATTACCTCCTCGTTGTGGATTACAACTCCAAATACCCCTTCATCCGCAAACTAAAGGAATTCTCCAGCAAGGAAGTCATTGATTTTACCAAGCGAATCTTTGCTGAACAAGGAGTCCCAGAAAGGCTTACCAGTGACAGTGGGCCGCATTTCAGCTCTCGGCACTTTAAAGAATTTGCCAAAGCATGGGATTTTGAGCACATCACCTCTTCTCCCAAATACCCCCCCCCCCGATCGAATGGCATGGCAGAGCGGTGCATACAAACCATCAAGGGAGCCATGAAGAAGGCCATGCTGAGCAACCGAGACGTAGATATGAGTCTGCTGTGTCTCCGATTGACTCCAATGGATCACGTAATCCCATCCCCGGGAAAACTACTATTCAATCGGAAGCTGGTCAGTAATCTCCCCACAAAATGCACCAACAATAATGCCCGGAAAGAAGAAATTCAGGATCGCCTACTCGATAGACAGTGGTTGCAGGGAAAACAACATGATCAACATGCAAAGGATCTCTCCAAACTTAGCACAGGACAACTGGTGCGAGTACAAGAACAGGATACGAGGAAGTGGACTTCAGCTGTGGTCAGACAAATCTGCACTGAACCACGATCATACATTATTGAAACCCCAACAGGACAGGTTCTTCGCAGAAACCGTAGGCATCTCAAGGAAGATATTAGCAACAAGGCACTGACGTCTCTCCATAGTACGTCCCTGCCTCCACCCGCTAATATTCCAAACACACCTCCTGCAGGTACACCCAACACACCCTCCAACATCTGCACTCCATCTAAAGCAACACTCAGTCTTGCACATAAAACGCAGCCTAGTGGCATCACACCAACAGAAACAATCACAAAAAAGTTCATGAAAGTCTTGATTATTGTCCTTGTGAACTGAAAAGAAAATGTGTCAGAAGTGTGGTTGAAATGCGTGATTCGACGAAATGTGCTTGTGTTGTCGTCAGGGTGCAATCGTTGAAAATGTTTTTTCGAAACAGTGAGTCATCCAAAAAAAAGTTTGAAGCATGGGAAGCAAGCGGTAGCGTGAAGATGTCGCCACATGGTGTAGGAAAAATGTATGTGCGCGCTTTTTGAGTTTCAGAATGGAAGAAGATGTGAAATGCTATGACCAGTAGCATGTATTGAAAGGAAGCGGAATTTGCAATGTTAGTAGCGACGAATTACGTGCATGCAAATCCTCAGTGAAGTCGCATCATAATGGAACAGTGAGTCGTCCAGAGAATTGTGCGTTTATTCCAGTGAAACTTGTGTGTTGCTTCCATGTCGGAATCACCAATTGTTTGAGAATAAAGGACAGTGGGTCGCCTTTAGTGGTTTGGTTCACACTTTATCTATTTCAGTCCAGAAGGAATGGGTGTTCGTTCGTAGAAAAATGGCGTTGGGAGTCTGCTGGTCACTAAACGTTGAATATGCCTCGTTTGAATTGTGTCGCTATATTGCCCAGCCAAGTCAGATCACGTCGGGGTCACCACTTATGTAGCGGACCCCCAAGCGCCCCCGCATCACACAAGGGTGAATGAGGGCACAAGAGGCCCGCTAACATTTTTGAAGACGTTAAATCTGACGGTGAAACAACAAAGACGACAGAACGAGGATATATATGATATATGCTAATTTATTCTAGAAAAGAAAAGGAAATAAAGGTGGTCGGAAACGGTAGAGGTGCAGAAGTTCTAGTGCAGGCATTGATGGTCGAGGTTGGTCGTTACAGGTGATCGCTGTTGGACATGCAGGTGGTCGCTGCAGAGATGATCGCTGTTGGACATGCAGGTGGTCGCTGCAGAGATGATCGCTGTAGTTGAAGTTGATGATGTCGTTGCAGGGATGATCGCTGTTGGTTGTTGAAGTTGGTTGTTGGCAGGATGATCGCTGTTGGTTGTTGGAGATGAAGCTGATGTGGGTTGTTGCCAGGATCATCGCTGTTGATTGTTGCAGTTGATGTTGGTTGTTGCCAAGATCATCGCTGTTGGTTGTTGGAGTTGAAGTTGGTTGTTGTAGTTGGTCGTTGCCGGGTTGCCAACTTGACGTGTTGGGAAGGAAAGAAGAGCTGGCGTTGTTCGGGCATGTCACAGGTCCAATGCAGGCGTTGCGTGTTTGCCGGTCGAGTCCGATATTAGTAACCTCCCGTATTAATTACTAACATAGTGTACGGGAAAGGTTAAGGACGACGTGCGGGCAGCCAGTAGGGACGGAATGCCGATAGTCAAACAGGAGCCAGGAATAGTAGACGAAAGAGAGAGAGAAAGGAAAGTTTCCAACTATCGTCAAGTTGGCAGACAAAAAAAAATGGGAACTTAATACGCAGCCCGGTGATCGACGTTCCTGGCCGCGAAGGCCAGGGGCCTACGTATCTGACCGTTTCAGTCGCCGACCAAGATTTAGTGAGAAGCAGCTGTCTTGTGGTAAGGGAGACCAGCAAGTGAATTGGATAAGCTAACAGTAAAGTCTCTATAATAAAATACGACGAGGTTAGCTAAAGGGAACTATGGCCTAAAAATGTCTAGCAGTATATTACAACTATGTTTGTAATATAACTTAACTAAAAAGGGAACTTGCTAGTCTCTCCCACGGGTTAACAGTGTATAGGGGGCACGAATGAGAGGTCAAGGTCGAAATGACCTGTTCTCTTAGTTTAAGGAGCGAAAGGAGGAGGTAACTCCGACACATGTACCAGAGGGGAAACACCAAAGATGCAGGTTGTATGTTCCCAAATTATCTTATAACTTATTGAGTGTGTTTAGAGCTACTAAATCTGGAAAGACATGCATATTTACTGAATCAAATTGTCAACTTTTGGATGACAAGCAGAAAGTGGTGGCTTCAGGTTCAAAAATTGGGAACGTACTATTTAAACTGTAGTGAAGTACATGAAACAGCCCATGCAGCAACTACCTATTTAGGTAGTCACACAAAAGAGGAGATTTGGCATGGACGTTTTGGCCACCTTGGAGCAAAGAATTTACAGAAACTAGTAAGGGACCAACTTGTAACTGGCCTTGACTATGATGTAACCAAGGATATCAACTTTTGTGAGCCATGCTTGGATGGAAAACATCCTCGTTTCCAAAATCTGGTGGGAGGCGAGCCACCCAACTTCTCGGAATTGTGCATAGCGATGTTTGTGGAAGGATAGAGGCAAAATCGCTTGGTGGAGCTGAATATTTTGTCACATTTATTGACGATAAATCAAGATTTGTGTGGATATACGTCCTCAAGCACAAGAGAGATGTGTTCAAAAGGTTCATGGAATGGAATGGAAAACCATGGATCCTGCACAGTGATCTGGAGCCTATAGTCACTTATTTAAACAAGAATTTTTCTTAGCTAATTAGTGAGAATTTAGCTGCCAAACAAATCCACGACAGTTGAAACCATGCGCCAACCTTCTCACTGACACACACCACTCACATGCTGAACATACCTTGTATATACTCACATAATCTTTTGTAACACAGCAAATATTTTAAGAACAGTCATTATAAAAGACTCTCATGAAGATTATTCCAGTGAACTTTGAAATACTAAAATAACAGTTAAAGAGAGACAACTTGTTTATTTCAACCTTTTCTTACTTAAATGCATGCTTTCTTTCACATCGTTGTTTGTTATTGTGCATCTTGTTAAATACATATTTTATGTGTAACAATGTCTTTGGCTTATCCTTTTCTGTGTCAGCCCTTTCCTAATCTAAAGTTAAATTAATGTGGTGAAGTTCGCCACACGTCTCTTTCACCTTCTTTTTTTACTGTCAATCCACTCATCAGACTAGCAAATGTAATCCGCCCAAAAAAGAAACAAACAATGGCCCTCGTTCTTAGCATCTCGCTTTTTATGTCCCCTCAAGCAGGCCAGAATTTGCATATGTGCAAATCCTATCTCGTAGAGACGAGACAAGGACTTATAAATTGCGTCCCCAATAGTGGCCACATTTTCTCTTCAGCACTTTGTACGCAAGACACGTCCATGCTCGTTTTAATCTCCGAGGTAAGTCATTTCTTTCGTCACAACACCTATTACTACTACACTGTCCCCTGATCTCATGATCACATATGATACAACCAGGGGGCAGTCTCTTGCGTAGAGTGCTTCTTCGCAGGGGTATAGCTACATGGATTTTCATCAGACGAGTCATCAGAAGAAGAGGTGTTGGCTGCATCTATGCTGGGCGCTGGCGTATCCGGGATTTTTCCGACAGTTATAACTCTTTCACCGTCTGAAGACACGTCAGAGCAGTCCATCGGAAGGCCTAGTCCAACCATAAGCCGCAGATCTTTGACATGGCGTGGCATTCCATCAATCAAGACATTCTGCGCGATAGTAACTACGGTGACACGCCCAACCTTGTATTTGGTCGTACATCGCCACGGAGAACCTTTACCCACACTTGGTCGCCCGTTTTGAAGACAGCCCGCCGTTGGTCAGGTGTCGGTGCTGACATTCCATCAATCCCTTTCAGCTGTATGCCATAGCGATGAATCATATTGGCTGGTGCTGTAGTGGGGGATACGTCATCATTTGGTGTGACGTTGTGCCAGTACACTGCTTCTGATATAGCACACTGTTTTCTGGCGGCGATCTTTTTCACAGTCCTGTGGCGTCACTCAATGATGCCGTTACACGAGGGAACATTCGCACAACAGAACCAGAGTCGAACTCCCCACTCGTTCAGGAAATTCTTCAACAAGCTGCTGTGAAAGGCGGTGTCGTTATCCGTCAAAATTTCAGTCGGCGGGCTGATCACACTTGCTGTATCCTGCCGGTGGAGATGTCACCAGATGGTAAACCGAGTGGAGCCACAACCAATTAATGTCAAAAAAATGGGCTCCGTTATAATGGGTAATGTCCATCGCTACATGTTGCCATGTCTCTTCAACATCCAGAGCATCCTCTGGCCAGTGCAGAGGTGATAAGTCGATTGACTGACATTCCTCACACCCCCTGACGATAGTTCTCACAGTCGCCTTGGACACTGCAGGGTCATCTGCTTTACGAAGTAGAGTGTCTGCCGCACACCAGGATGGCCGCTCTGTCGGTGTATAATTCTGATTTGGTCAGACCCAACCAAGCTCACAGATGCAGTGCGAGTAGACTGTACGGGCTCAGCGTTCCTCCTAACTGCATCAATCCACCTCTGAGGCACCCTACTCAGTCGATCTGCTTTGTTTTGACTAGATTTAACCAAGGTCACATCCATTGATAACGCACATTCGTTTACCAGTTTCATCAGCCTGTCGAGCCGTAGTCGGATGAGCATCTCACTCACTGCTTTTGTTCGCACTCCGGCCCTCCCCGTGAGGGTGTCTGACACCCATTTATGGACACAAGCAGGATCTGTGAACAGGTGCAAGGTAGTCGCCTTCCAGAGGATTGCCAAATACTCCCCTTTAATAATGGCATCAAGTTCTGCAAGGTTATGTTGGGAGTCCTTTTCTGGTTGTAACTAACAGTCGTCCTCGCACCACATTCCAACGACACACCGGTAGCCAGAGAGCTTGCATCGACCCATTCACTGAAGTCTTGACCATCGACACACCATTTTCCACGTGCCGGGTCCTCATTGTGCACTCTGGTGAGAACCTTCTTGATCATGGTGTTGAGAGGGGCATCGTCAACTTTGTCGTCCCAACCAGCAGTAATCTCGGATGCTCTCTGCTTGATAAAGGCCATGGCCACACAAAGCCATCCACCACAGAAAGATGTTCAACCATCTTGCCGCATAATGAAAATACGTTGTGTCGGGTGTCGGGTGACGACACGAAGCATATCCAGGATCCTGTTCCCT